AATTGACAATTAGCTTGGCAAGTCATAAGGAACAAAAAGTCAAAATGGAGCTTCAGAAGGTAAACTGACCAGCATGAACCAAGTTGCTTCCTGCAAAGGGGCATGTGCCTTTGCTCCTCCTTTATATCCTATGGGAGAGGCAATCACCTCCAAGCCTTATTCCTGAGTTGTCCCTTCTGTCTTAACTGTTCTTGCCTTCTGGCAGCACTGGGAAAAGGGGAGCCTGTTCCTCTGCCTTGCTGCTGTCCGACTCTGGAGACTCCAGAAGCAGCAAATAACAACCAGATGGCTCTGGCCCCCTCTCTGCCTCCGGTGCAGAGCCCTCGTCTGAGCCTTTCCCAGACTCCAGGACTGGCCCATGTTCCTCCCCAACCTCCTCGCTATCTGACTCTGCTGCCAGATCCTCAGGCCGCAGGCGGATCATCTCTTTTATGGAGTCTGGTTTTTTTAAACACTTTTTATCCTTCTATTAGTATGTTCCAGTCATAGATTTCATCCCACCAAGTTTTGGTAATTCCAACTATATTGTATCTACCTTCATGTATTAATAGTTCAAGTTCACCCAATTTCATCCCCAAACCTTGTGCATTTCTTTATGCTCTGTAATAGTGTTATTTTCCACAGTGAATAAAGAAAAGCTAAAACTGTGGCTCAAAGGAAAAAAAAATCAAAGGATTTTAGTGAATTCAAAATAATATTGGCAAACTCTTTGAAACATTTGGGTTCAACTTTACTTACAGAATTGACGGTTGGGAAATATAATAAGTCAAACAACCAGCAACCAGCTGTTTCCTCCCACAAGGTAAGCTTTGCTTTGAATGATTTAACACCTATACATCTGTGTTATCCTGTTTTCTTCACTGAAGTTTTAGTGAGCCCTTACATCTGTTCACAAGATGACAGTTAAATGTTGAATCACAAGCTGAAGAACCTCATTGTTTTCCGTGTTCATAAATAAATAATATCCTCTGTGCTCTCTTTCTCTGTGTCTGTCTGTCTCTCTGTCTCTGTTTCTGTTTCTGTCCCTCTCTGTTTCTGTTTCTGTCTTTCTGTCTCTCTTTGTCTCTCCCTCTGTCTCTGTTTCTGTCTCTCTGTCTCTGTCTCTGTCTCTGTCTGTCTCTGTCTCTCTCTCTCTCTCACACACACACACACAAACACATATACACACACACATACTACACCTTTGGTGTGTGTTAGCCATTCTGACTGCTTATATATGCTAAAAAGTAATTGCTTATGATTCAGCCCTCTTGCTTGTTTTAATCCACAACTTCCTTAATTTAATTTATTACATAGACTTCTTCATAAAACTATAACATTTATCAATGATGTTGATTCCTGTTACAGTGATGGTGTGCAGTTTTTTCCCAACGTACCAAGCAAGCAATGTTTACAGAACAGAATGAAAATGTACTTTTTGAAGCCATATTCCATGTCAAAGCTGTTATTTGTTCTGGTCTTTGAAATAAATCTTGACGTACTATCTTTCAGTCTAATTTTTAATTATTTTCAAATTACAATCCATACCTCAACTGAATGCTACATATGGTGGAGTACTTCAAACATCTGTAAAAGACAATTGTCTTTTGCTGTTGAAATCAATTGTTTCTTTATATTATACCCTAAATTATAGAGGCAATTGTATTAGCTGACAAGCTTTTTGCCTTCAGAAATTTACCAAGAGATAAAATTCTGTTGGCTTTATATGATTTATCTATGATTTCATTTATCTCAGAAATTATTTTTAATGAATCCTCTCTAGATATGTTAGTATTTTGGGTTGCAAGGTTTGGAACCTGTCACAGAAATTTTTATTCATGTCATTTTCTACTCAGGACTCATGATATATTGATCTTATGTACATGATGAAGATGTTATATTCCATGGGAACCAGAAATAAGGCACCAAACTTTGTCTTTTATTTCTATGAAAAAATATGCATACATTTTCCTATTTGTCTTGGAAAAACATTTTTCCTTCCACAATTCTTCTTAATGTAAACATACTGAATCTGCTGATGCCTTCAAATATCAGTAGTACAATACATAAGAATGAATTGCCCAAATAGGCTTTAACAATTGCTTCATACATGTTGTATGGTGAAATGTATCAAAAAGAACTGCACAACCATTATTCTTTCTATGTTGTACTCTTTTGTTATTGCTAACAAATGAAGCCTTTATATGTATTAAAAACAAGTAGCACAATTGCATCATTAGCAATTCCCATCCATAGTTTAATATTTCTCCATGTAGACAACAAATAGTTCTTCAGAGCAGAATGTGGCAAGCACCTTTACAGGTATCCTCATACTGATCTGAGCCATACTGATCTATCGCTAACTTAGTTCATAAATTTCATAAATTTCTTAAATTAGGCTTTTAACTGTACAATAAATGTACTTAATCAGAAATGAATTGCAGAATCAATATTTTGAGGAAGAGTGAATGGCTCAAGAGGAAGGGAAGATTAATAAAATTATGATTGGATGTAGTTGATGAGAGCGCGGGGCGGAATTTAAAGAACAAAATGCAAAGGCATTGTGTGAATTGGTGCCTAGATATGATCGAAGCAAGGATAAAAAGCTGTAGCGGGGACATAATGAGTAATATTGGTGCAAAGTACATTACCTTTCCATTTACGTCTACTCTCCATTCTTCTTTGTATATAACTTCATACACATTTTGTTTACTTTTGTCATGTTGATTAACCAGAAAAAGATTAATATGATGAATATGATTAAAAGTCTGCAAAGGCCATTCAATGTATTGTTGGTATTCTTCACAAATTTCAACTAATTCTGAGTCTTTAGTTTCCTGACATAAACTCAGTAGTTCCAGGTTACATGTGCATATTCTTCTTTGTAGTGTACATGATATGCATGTTTATATACAATCTTAGTAAATTTTGTTTTGAATGGTCTCATAATCAAATTCATTTTCATCTTGTCTATCTAAGTTCACAAAACATCTAACTGAGAATGTTTCATTTCTGTTCTTAATAATTTATTAATAATTACTATTTTTTCTTAATAATTCCAGATTCCTTTTTATTCTTCTTACACTCCAAGTTCCCACTGTACATATCTTTGTAAAATGAAGAAATTCTTTTCGAATATTAGAAAAATCAGTTATCAAAATTTCATATGGCTTGGTCTGGCTGTTATCTTCTCAAGACCTTCTTGTGAAACTTCAGTGCTCTTCTCCAATCACTAGAAGAGGCTCTTATGGTCTCAAAATAAGGCATTAGGTTTTTCTAAATGCAGCAATATCAATATGGTTTTCTTGGCATTAGACTGTGTATTTCCTTATCTAGATTTAATTCTGGAGCGTTTTATTTACTAGCTGGATCAATTTCTCTCATGATTTAAAAACCTACTTGTCCTCATCCCTCTTGTGAATTACTCTTATGCATAATCCATCCCCAATTAACTTTAGAAGCCAAGATAATAATAATAGGAGTTTCTTTTCTGGCCAGTACCACATTCTGGACCACTGATACTATAAGATGAACTGCTTTTTTTTAATTGACTATATTAATACATTTTAAAAGTGAAAATAATTAAATGTGCACTATGCTGGCTTTCCTTAGAAACATACAATAAAAATAAAGCAAAGATACTGAGTTGCGTCGCATCAGAACTGGTGGACTGCTATCTCCTATTACCAATCTAAGGGTAATATTTTCTACTTTCCATTTTCCCTATTGAAGAAAGCAAGATAATTCTAGAAAATGAAATGCTAAAAGGCATGCCAAAGTAAATAATTTTCTTGAAAAATGATCAAACAATATTTTTACAATACATATAAAATTGCTGTAAAACTTTGCAAGGCTAATACTATTTTTCCCCAGTGTGGTTATGATTAGATCTTAGAAGAGGGAATAGAAGGGGAACTTACCAAATTTCTGGATGATATTAAGCTGGCAGAAATAGTCAGTACCCTAGATCAGGAGTGTCAAACTCGATTTCATTGAGGGTCACATCAGGGTTGTGTTTGACTTCTGAGGTCCAGGATGGACGTGACCAGCTCACTGTCACTCATGTTGGGGACACCTGTAGTGGGTCGAGTGCTCTAACAGCAAAAACGGACTCCCAAGTTCTGTTTTCAGCTGCTACTGACTCCTGCAACCTTCTACTGGTGAAAATGGAGCCTGGAAGACCATTTTCACTGGCAGAAGCACTGTTGCTGGTCCTCCGCTGTTTCCAGGATGGCCCTGCGGGCCAGATCTAAGTACCCCACAGGCCAGATCCACTCCCCAGGCTTTGAATGTGACACCCCTTCCCTAAATGATAGGTCAAGAATCATATATCTATAAACCAAAATAGCAATAATACATTCTGGATTAGTGCGCTTGAGATTGAGATTTTATTTTATTTCAAAATGACTGGTTTAGTTCAATTTTGCACTTGTCTTTAGCAGTACTCTTTTCAAATTTGGATACTGTCCTTTTTGTAAACAAATTACTAGTCTTCATAGACAGATTACTTATTTAGAATCTCTAATCTCTGCTCTCCAAGCAGAAATTAGGTGCCCAATTCAGCCATTCCATACTATAGAGATGCCACATTATCAGCCCCCTCTACCGTACTAAAAAGACAGGTCAAGGTAGTTGTGATAATGATGATTCAAATAAGCAGGGGATCGTGGTCCAAAATGAAAAAATTTCTTTAGAAAGGTGGCGAAATGGGGATCCAGGTATCACACATCAGTCGCACAAGAANTATGGAGCAATTATCAGCTTCTCCTCTCATTTTTCTCTTGCATGTGGATTGCAGAGTGGTTTTAAATTTGCATCAGAAATGTTTCATAGCTTTAGAATGGTTTAATTAAACTAGTTCTTTATGTGAATAAGTATTCATAATCATTCCAGAAACAAGAAGCAAGCTGCTAGAAGGGGGTCCATGAGTACGTGAGTAGATATATGTATAAATTTAAACTAATCTCTCAGTAACTGCCAACAGTTGAACATCAAACATAGTTTAAAGGAAATCTTCTTACCACAGCAGAGTGATATGATGATTATCAGGGTTATCAGCAGAAGAAGAGAAACACCAGCTAAGGGAACCCATATATAAAGTTCACAGGAGAACATTGTATTTTTTGTATTTGTTGTTACTGAAATATAAAGCAAAAGAAGAGCAATGCTTTCAAAAATGTTATCCCTCCAGTTTTTGATAATGTTTTATTATTTTGAAAAAAAAATGTTCTGCTAGGATGAGTTTCATGTTTGTGTTGTACAACTTGCTCTAGAAGAGCAACATTGTTAATTGCCAGCCTAGAAACACATCCCATGCTCACAAGGTAGTTGTGATAGTATAAATAACTATCCTGCAGTGCAGATCCCTGAATTCCAACATCTTCCTACTATGCTTCATCTCCTTATATTTACTTCATGCTTAAAAAGGGAGGTTAATAATCTGATCCTGTTGTGAAGTTGTACTTTCAACTCCTGATATGTTGAAATGATATTATAAGTTCTGTAGTGCTTTAGTTTAGTTTACTTTATTGTCATTGCACATCATACAATGAAGTTAAATGCCATCTTCAGTGTACATTATAACTATAAAAATAAAAACACAAACACACATCCTTCACATGCTATATAATTGAAATTGAAAACCCGTTACTGCATTAATATTGCACTATACTGTAGAATTCAAAATAGTTACTACCCTGGGATAGAAGCTGTTTTTCAGCCTATTTGTCCTTGATTTTATTATCCTGTACTGTCTGCCAGATGGTAATAGTTTAAAAAAAGGGTGCCCAGGATGAGA